GAAGGAGGGTGAGAGCCTTACATAAGGCAGAAATAAAATGGGTGTGAAGAAGAGGGTATAGAAAATGGTGAGGCAAATGAAATCAAGGGACTTGGTAACTACTGAATGAATGGAAAGACTGAATTAAAATATGTCCTGGAAATACGTTAAATACAATCTGCCCCAAACCAACCCTGTTCACCCTCTTTAAATTCCTCAAAGCCAAACACCAAACCAGAAAGTCATGCAGCTTTGATGACTCTACTTTCTTCTTCCCACTCATCCAATATGGTACATATGTTTGTGGTACAAAAAAGCTGCTATCAAGATTTTATAAAAGTTTATAATAGCAGCAATATTACGCTCAAAGACAGTAAAAACATTTGAGGAAAAAACTACTAATGACTAGGTGAAAAAAAAGACACTGTATTACCATGATCCTTTGACTTATGTATACCAAATATACTGCTACATATAAAAACTCAGAATATCTATCATTTTTCTGGAATAGTGATAATTCCTTGTGCTCTATGCAGCCATTCCTCTCCCACCCACACAAAAAAGGGAGCAGTAGAGGGATGAAAAATCTAAATATAAAAATGTAACCATGCTGATCCCATTTTAAGAACATTTACAATTTATCATGCGCAATACTTAGGATCCATAAAGAAGAAGGGATAAAGAACTGAGGGTATTCTCCCATCTTAAGAGAGCAGACCCAATTATAGACATCATAATGATTGCTACTCACCAGGGTTTATAGAGTCAATCACTTATATTATGAGTCTGGAAAATACACCCAATGTAAGACAGAAAGATAAAGTAAACACACACTATGTGCTTTCAACTTACTAGTAAACATTCTCTTCTATAATGTGATATCAACTCTTCATCATGTCCTCTGTATGGGCCTTTGGACAAGAGCTCTTTGTTATTCTGATAAGCACAGATAAGGAACAGCAAGGAATCTATATAACTTAACAATTAAAAGAAACATATAACATTAGTATTTCTTATTTAAAAAGTCAACAAGAATTATAAAATATTTAAAATAAACATTTAAATTTTTGATTATCCAGAACAACATTATGATAAAAAAAAGTCATCAAATGCATTACACGCTTGAGAGCATTGTTTTAAAAACAAACAAAATAGTCATGGGGATGTAAAGTACAGCATAAGGAATACAATCAATAATATTGTAATAACTATGCATAGTGTCAGGTGGGTATTAGAC